CCACTAGCCCAGTGATGGCAAACCTATGACAAGCGAGTCAGAGGTGACACGCGAACTCATTTTTTTGGTTGGTTTTTCTTTGTTAAATGGCATTTAAGTATATAAAATAAATATCAAAAATATAAGTCTTTGTTTTACTATGGTTGCCAATATAAAAAAATTTCTATATGTGACACGGCACCAGAGTTAAGTTAGGGTTTTTCAAAATGCTGACATGCCGAGCTCAAAAGGCTCACCATCACTGCACTAGCCTATGAGGCTCTTCAGCACCTGAAATGTGCCTGGTGTGAACTGAGCTGTGGAAAATACACACTGGATTTTGAAGACTTCGCATGCAAAAAAGAACATAAAATATCTCACTAATTTTTTTATATCAATTGTATGTTGAAAGGATGTTTCAGATATAGGTTAAATAAAACATTATTAAACTTGATTTCACTTGTTTCTTTTCACTTCTTAAAATGTGGCCACTAGAAAATCTCATTAGCTCACATATGTGACTTGCACTATATTTCTTTTTTAAAAATATTTTTTATTGATTTTTAGAGATGGAGGAAGGGAGAGAAATAGAAACTTTGATGAGAGAGAAACATCATTGATTGGCTGCCTCCTGCACGCCCCCTACTGGGGAGCGAGCCCAGAACCTGGCATGTGCCCTAACGGGGAATTGAACCTCTTGGTTCCTGGGCTGATGCTCAACCACTGAGCTACACCAGCCAGGCTGCACTATATTTCTATTGGACCGGTTGGTTAGACTAGGGTTTGGCAAACTTTTCGGTAAAGGTCCAAACAGTAAAATTCTCCAGGCTTTGCAGGCCATCCGGTCCCTGAGGTAACTCCTGTACTTGGCTGTTGCTGCATAAAAGCAGTCATAGAACATAGAGAATACAGAAACGAGTGAGTGTGGCTGTGTTCTGATCGAACTTGACATACAAAAGTAGATGGCAAGCCCCTCTGGCCCACAGGCTATGCTTTGCTGACCCCTGGACTAGATTAAGCTCAGGGTCTGTGATTAAAGAGTCTCTTCAGAGAATGTGCCCCTGGCCTCAGGAAGCACGGCCGAACAACGCACCGGAGGTTCTGAGAACACGGCTATGAGTCCAAGTCCCAAAAGAAACCAAATTCCCTTAAGTCAGGGTGATGGCAAAGTCAGTTTGATGGTGATCAGCCTCTACTACCTGCCCTGGTGGCCCAGTGATGAGTTTGAGGAAACAGACTTGGGTGTTAACTGCTGCAGAAAGAGAAGACATCTGACTGGATGGATGACTGTCAAATTGATGATGTACGCTGTGCATCCCTGGTGTGAGGTCAGTGCCACATGCTAGACCCCAACGACTCACCATGTGGACCGGACAGGACTCGAATCATCTTTGCTCTTTTGCATCTATCCCTTAAGACCCCAGAGTGGACCCTGCAAATGGTTCTCTGAATTAAACTGAGGCATTCAGAAGAGACCCTAAATTCCTAAGCTCAAACCAGGGCGAGGTTGGTACAAGATTAACAATTGTATTTCCCCCTTTTCTCCTATTTTTACTTGCAAGTCCACTCTCCATACCACAATCTGATTTATCTTTTTCCTTTTTTTCCAGAATTATCTTTCTGAAATCTAAATCTGATCATGTAATTCACCTGTTCAAAAGCCCTGCAGTGACACCTCACGCCTCATCCTGCGGCACCAGGCTCTTCATGCTTGATCCTGACCACTGCCTCCCTTGTGTTACTTCTGTCCCTCCATTTTATATGCTCTTGGACCTTCTAGGAGCATTGCTAGGGAAATGTTTGTCTTCCACTCCACTGTCAGCACCGTGACTGCAGGCTCTGTACTAGTCTGTATTCTCAGAATAAAGCACAAACTGGGTACCCAAGAAACATTTGAAGAACTGAATTTTGCAATTTGCTACTGAGATTGTGTCATTCTTTACACGGGGCGCTGAGAGAGAATGAGGGAGAAAAATCAACACAGCGGCACTAAGGGGGCAGCTCAATCGCCATGTACTAGGGAAATGCCTCGAGGAGCCTCAGACAGAGACAGGTGGCTGCTACAAGAACAACAGTGTAATGGCTGATGTTGTGTTGATAATCGTTATGTCTGAAATGTAACAGATTCAACCTTTTAGACTTAGAGTACCAGCTTTTTAGAAACAAATTTTATTTTTTAGAATAGTTTCAGATTTACAGAAAAATTGCAAAATAGTATAAAGAGTTCCCATATACTCCACGGTCACTTTCCACTATTATTAACAGCTTACATTACTATGGTACATTTGTTATAATTAATCAATCAATATTGATACAGTATTCTGATTTTTAAAAAATTATTAAATAAAGTACATACTTTATTAAATAAAGTACAAAATTATTAAATAAGGTACATTACTATTAAATAAAGTACATACTTTATTAGGTTTCCTTACTGTTTACCTAATGTGCCTTTTTCTCCCCCAGGATCCCATCAAGATACCATATTACATTTAGTTGTCTTGACTTCCGCTCCTCTTGGCTGTGACCAGTTCTCAGCCTTTCCTGGTTTTTGATAACCTTGACGCTTTGAGGAGTATTGGTCAGGTATTTTGTAGACTGTCCCTCAGTTGATATTTCTCTGATGTTTTTCTCATGATTAAACTGAAGTTACGTTTTTGGGGGGGAGAAGACCATAGAAGTGCCATTTTTATCACATCACATCATACCATGTGCATGACTTAATACTGTTGATGTTGACCTTGATCACCTGGCTGGGGTAGTGTATTAGTTTTCTCCGCTGTGAAGTCATTCTTCCATCTCTCCCTTCCCATGCTGTACCCTTTGGAAGAAAGTCACTATGTGTAGCCCCCACTTAAGGAGGGGAAGTCTTGCTCCACCTCCACGAGGGCTAAGTATCTACATAAATAATTTGGAATTCTTCTGCATATGAGATTAGTTCCTCTCCCCTATTTATTTACGTATTCCACCATTTATTTATATCAGCATGGAGTCATGGAGATCTATTTTATAATTTGGGTTGTCATCCAATACTACTCTATTAATTCTGTTGCTCAGATGGTTCCAGTTTTGGCCATGGGGAGCTCTTTCGATTGCCTCCTATGTCCCATCACTGTGGTTTGTTTTGCTTTTAAGCAATTCCTGACTTTTTGACATTCTACCTGGTATGATGTTCCAAGGTCACCTTGTATATTTCCTGCCCCAGTCCTAGAATCAGTCATATCTCCAAGGAGCCTGGGTCTCTTTACTTAGAGAATAATATTAGAAACCAAGCTCTGGGTGCTAGGTGTGCTCATTGATATGGTGTCTCATTGTTTCTAGGCCCTCTCTGCTACCCAAGTAAAGAGAACCACGTGTCTACACCAACCTGTGTATATACATATATCTTGGAATATTTTTATATGTGTCAAGTACCAGATTTGACAACAAAGTCATTACCCCTCAGTGGATAAAACATTTTCTGACACATAGTATATTTAATCTTATAACGTAGAATTTTACTTCAAACTAAAAGAATAGATAGGCTTTGGGGATATTTTGGTCTGTTTCATTCTTTTTAAAAATTATATATTTTTATTGATTTCAGAGAGGAAGGGAGAGAGAGATAGAAACATCAATGATGAGAAAAAATCATTGATTGGCTGCCTCCTACAGATCCCCCACTGAGGATCCAGCATGCGACCCAGGCATATGCCCTTGACCAGAATCAAACCCAGGGCCCTTCAGTCCGCAGGCCGATTCTCTATCCACTAGCCAAACCGGCTACAGCTGTTTTATATATTTTTTTTTAATAAAAATTTATTTTAGAGAGAGAGGAATGGAGAGGGAGAGAGAGAAACATTGATCAGTTGCCTCCCAAATGCACCCTGACCAGGGATAGAACCCACAATCTGGGTATGCATCCTAACTGGGAATCGAACCTGTGACCTTTCAGTGTAGTGGTATATATTTCTCCACCAGTGTCTAGTATTCCTCTGCCTAAGGCCACAGCCTTTACTAGCTGCCTCTCTTACAGTCACAGCTGCATCGCTTCCAAGGACCCCTTTGCCTTTCAGGATTAGGAGTGGTAACTGCTCCCTGTTTCTTGCTAGCCCCAAGAGGCTTCACCATCCCTGTTGGATTGCCTGTATCTTTGTAAACACTGCCTACATCAAACTCCCTAAAAATAGGTGAATCAGATTCTCAAAAGGGTCCATGACTCAAAAGAGGTGAAGAAGCCTTTCGAGCAGAGGTACTTGCAAAGTGATGTGGGTATCAGAGGAAGGCGTGCTATCCGTAACTCGCTGGCTTCACAGAAGAGTGCTCCTCTCAAATGCAAATCAGATCAAGTTATTCCCCTGCTTAAATTCTGTAGTGGCTTCCCGCTGCTCTTAGAAGAAAGGCCAAACTCCTTAAAACGGCCCACAGAGCCCCACCTCGTCTTTCCCTCTCTAATCTTACCCCAAACATTCTTTGTCTGCTCTCTGTACTCCAGCCACCCTGACCCTTGAGTTCTGCAGTTGCACCAGGCTCCCTCCAGCCCTGTAGCCTCTGCACTGAAGAGGACCCCCATCTTCTCTACTCATTCTCTAGGACTTGCTCCATGTGACCCCCAGGCCAGGTCAAGTTCCGCTGTCACATACCCGATAGGGCCCTGAATCCCAACTCCAGAGCACTCATTTCAGCTTGGAACACATTTTTGTGTTTTGTGTTTGACATTTATTAATGTCAGCCTCTCCCACTACACTGTAAATTCCATGCGGGATGGAACCGTGTCTATTTCTGTTTACTGTTGGTTCTTGGCACAGTGCACGATACATGAGAGATGCTCGTGAAGATTTGTAGAGAAATGAATGACTGAGTCAGACTGTGAAAGGTCAGTCTGCCAAGAAGCAGTTTGCCAGGAGCCTAAGAGGCCCCCTGAGGGCTCAAGAACTGGTTAACCTGCTCAGTATATCCTGCCTGGACTTTCTTCAGCAACAGGCAAAGGCCCCCAATGCCTCCTTCCCAACCACAGGATGAAAATAACCCACCAACATTACCTTTACATCAGGGGTGAGAATCAACTCAAACTGGTCGTAAATCTCCTTGGGGCTGGGCAGCTGCTGCTCCGTCGCTGTGTCCAGGAATGCCTCGATGTCGGTCAAGGCAACGTCAACACCCTCTTGAGACTGGCACTTGTCTACAGCTTGGGAAGCCAAGAGGTAGATTCCCGCCTCACACCACCGACTGACCTTTTGAAAAGAAACACAGTGCCCTGTGCAGTTAGCCTGACCACAGCTCAGCCACCACAGTCCCTTGGGAGGTCTGCGCTCCTCTGGCTCTACCAGGATTCCGAGATACTGGGAACTTGTTGTGGGGTTAGTTGAGAGGTCTAACCCCTGTAAATACAACTGTGAGGTGGATAAACCCAAACCAATTTTACATCTGTCCACTTCTCAGGGAAGTCACCCAACCAGTAAAATGAATCGTGTAAACATTCGTGTCCCTGTATCACCTGCACCACAATCATCTGGGCCCTTTTCTACTGACAGCAATTACTATCCCTCCAGGAGGAGAAAGGCAAGTACTTCTAAGTTTGATCTCGCTATAGAGAAATGTAACCAATGACTTCTTGGGTTGACCTTCTAGGTCACTTGTCTTACCTCCTAACTGGTTACAAGAGCACAGAGTAACTAATGAGGCACCAGACCTGGCCCCTACATGCTTTGCTTGCAGGAGGGACTGTCTTTTTAACAAAAACACTTTCCTCTGTCCGCATTTGCACTTATTGTCATTTGTCTTTCCCACGGAAGCATCCAAGAATGAAAAGTTCTATAACTCAGAACAGCAGTACTCACACTTTCCAGAATGCTGGGATGAAACCAGGTAGGTGATGAATTCTAACAGTTCAACTTTTTAAAGACGTACACAGAAAGACAAGGGCCCTGGTGATGCCTGAATATTTACATGAGCTGCCAGAGCAAGTACACCTGCATTTCCATTCCAGGTGACCTGAAGGGCTATGTCAAGTAACTATACAAGGAAAAAGCACTCCAAAGGAGTTATCGCTAAGTGGGAAATTACAGGCAACTTAAATCTGTCTTTTATTTTCCCCCTAAATTATCTACATTGAATGTGTGCTACTTTTAGAACAACAAAACAAAAACCACACACACCAATAAAGGTATTTAAAGGTTAATCATTATCACTGTGTGAGGATGAGAAGGGAAGTAGGATGTGTAGGCATCCACCAGTAACTTCTTCCCTCCTCTTTCCTACATTTTTGGATTTTCAAAGTAATAGGAAATCATGCTTTAATATATACTGTGAAAACTTTGTCTTGAAACATCATGACTAGATCTGCAGAAAACATTAGGCTGGGGTCTTCTGTAGTCACAGCGACTACTTGCTTTCCCAGACATACACACACACACACACACTCACACTCAGCTCTGTGTTAGGCTGTTATCTCTGGAGCAGATATGGACTGAGGGAAACAGTAGTTGATCCTGCAGAGAGCTCAGCCCACAGAGCAGGCTGCGCACCAGGTCCCTCTGAGCCGCTTGCTTCTGGAACAGCTGGACTTCACTGACATTAAAATCCCTTTAGCAATGGGATGATGTAAACAGCCTGGGTGGGTGCCCCGGCCACCGCAGAGAAAGAGCTACAGGAATGGAGCTCCCCACTCATGGCCATGAGCCACATGCTGCCTGGGAACAGCTGACAGGGAAGGCTCCAAAAGTCACTGCCCCTGCTGACTGGGCACTTGTCCCAGAGATCACTGCCAAAGGGCACCAGAGGCTGCTCTCCCTCCCTGTGAGCCCTCTGCTCACACAGCATTGCTGTCTAGTCTCTGGAGCCTGGGGTTTGAATTTGGCAGTCCTGACTACAAATCCGCAATCCCCTATCTCCTCCATGTGCGGTCTCAGGCCGTCACTTATCTCAGGGTTTCTCAGTGTGTCCCTGTATCACCTGCACCACAATCACCTGGGCCCTTGCTGAAAACACGGATTCTACGGCATCGCCCCAGACTTACTGAACCTCAGTCTCCAGAGTGGCAAACCAGGGAATCTGCAATACAGCAAACTCACCTGGCAATTCTCATGCACTAAGTGTTGCAACTCTTGGACTTAACCACGTTGAGTATCAGTTTCTGCCTCTGTAAAATGAGGCCATTAATACCTTCCTCATAGCTTGTCTTGAGGATTAAATAGATGACATAATTATGCTCCTACTGGGAACATAGTAGGTCCTCTACAAATGGCAGGAGTGTATAAATGGTCATTATAACTTAAGCTTTTCTCAAAGGATTCACAATCTGATGTCTTCAGATGAGAAGAAGCACTCTGCAAATATAGGGCTTGGTCTCTGTATGCTTGAGGGGGAATCAAAAAAATGTCCCACCAGGCCAAGCCAGAACACACTCTTTTTTTAAAATCTTCACCTGAGGATATTTTTCCATTGATTTTTAGAGAGAGTGGAAGAGAGAGGGAAAAATGAGGTGTGAGAGAAATACATCAATTGGTTGCCTTCTGCACGTCCCCCAACTAGGGCCCAGGCTGGGGAGGAGCCTGCAACCGAGGTACATGCCCTTGACCGAGGTACATGCCCTTGACTGGAATAGAACCTGGGACCCTTTGGTCCACAGGTTGACACTCTATCAACTGAGCCAAACCGGCTAGGGCCAGAGCACACTTTTTTTTTTTTAAATATATTTTATTGATTTTTTACAGAGAGGAAGAGAGAGAGATAGAGAGTTAGAAACATCGATGAGAGAGAAACATCGATCAGCTGCCTCCTGCACATCTCCTACTGGGGATGTGCCCGCAACCCAGGTACATGCCCTTGACCGGAATCGAACCTGGGACCCTTCAGTCCGCAGGCCGATGCTCTATCCACTGAGCCAAACCGGTTTCGGCAAGAGCACACTTTAAGTCTGGGTCCACACCCAGGGAAACAGACGCAATTCATTCTAATAGGATGTGGTGGGATGACTGAGGCACCTTTGACTTTCAATACTCCTGTGACCTAGAACCTGCAGCATGTAATGCCTCTTGAGCTCTGTTCCCCATGAAGTTCTTTATCTTCTCAGCAACCATGTGGGACAGGGAGGTCAAGTCTGATTAAGACTGCTTTACAGAAAATTTTGCAGACATCACCGTCACAGCTTTGTTTTGCTCACCTTGTCCAGCTGACTATGTAATTCCAAAGACTTTTCTAAAATGTCATGTTTTTTCTTGTTTTCATTGAAGAAGTCATCGCAGAGGTGCCTGAGCTCCACACAGTTGGGCCTGATGGAGTCTGCTGCGTAGTGGTGGCTTTGGATGAGCTGGTCCCCGATTGTTGCAAGCAGCTGGGCCTTTTCCAAGGACTCCTGCAAAGTGAACATGCACAGCAAAGCATCACAGCCAAGTCATGGTGAGGCTGATATTTGCCTGACACTCTGTGCTCCAATCCTAGAGGGAGGCTAAGGAGATGCTGGCTCGGGGTTTAGGCTGAAAGTCTGTGGCTGGGGAATCCGGGAAGGCTCTTCCTTTCCCAAGAAGTCTGGCCTAATCCAGGGCCATTGTCATTCTGAAGAAAAACAAGTCATTCATTCAAGTATTTGTTGAGTTCTGGGATGGGCACTGAGGACATAGTGTTAACAAGCCAAAAACTTTCAGCCTAATGGAGAACTCACATATTAAATAAATTATACAAATAATTAAATTATTACAATGTGATAACTTCTAGGACAGAGGTGTTATACTCTACAGAATAGGAGACTCTGAATCCCACTAAATGGAAAAGGAAAAAGGACAGACCTGTGGCCCTGAGGAGAGCTGGTAGTGAGCTGAAGTTAAGAAAAGGTAAAGATCTGGTTTGGACAACTCTATGGGGGAGTCATGCGACTTAAGAAATATGTTCCTATAAACCCTTTCCTGTAACCACAGCTCACTGTCTGCTCTGACCTCGTCTGTTCGGCAACCACATCTCCCTCTCTCTGATGGCTTGCTTTGTTCTAACCACATGTGCCATATTTTCCTGTTTTCAATGTTATTGAGGCTTACCATGTGCCAAGCATCATCAAGGTACTGAGGGTTCAGTGGGAAACAAAGCAGGGAAAACCCCTGCCCTTATGAAGCTTACATGCTAATAGGAGACACAAGCAATCAACAAATATCTTAGATAGTGATGAGCGCCATGAAGAAAAATCAAACAGGGAGGGGAGGACAAGGAGTGCGGGTGGAGCAGTTGCTATTTTAAGTAGGATGGTGGGCGAAGGACCCACTGAGCAGGTGCTCTCTAGGAAAGAATACTATCCTAGGAAAGGCCTGCTTGCAAGGTTGGCCTTGGGTGGCATCTAGGAACATCAGGAGGGTTCCTATCATCCCCATGGAGAATGGCTCACCATACCTAAACTGGACAAGCAATATGCTTTATGCTGGACCCCTGCTGTCTTTCTGGGAGTCTGGATTCTGGTATATGCCAGGCAGAGGCTGCCTATGTAACCATCTACCAATAAAAACTCTGAGCACTGAGCACTGAGCTTCCCTGGTTGACAACACTTTACAGTGTGATCCCAATGCACCGCAGGGAGCGTGAAGTGCATCCCATGGGACACCACAGGAAGAAGACTCTTGGAAGCTTGCACCTGATAGCCTCCAGAGTTCACCCCCTGCACCTTTCCTTTGCTGATTTTGCTTGGTATCCTTTCACTGTAATAAATTACAACCATGAGTATGCTGAATGCCGTGAGTCCTCCTAGCAAATCTTCAAATCTGGGTGTGGTCCTGGGAACCCTTGACACAGGAGCCAAGACCTGAAGTGAGGGACAAGCCATGCAGTACTTGGCCTAGAGGTTGGGCATGTGTGGCGTGTTCTGGTAGCAGGAGGAGGCCACTGTGGCTGGAACAGAGGAGTGAGCAGGAAAGGCGTAGGAGGTGCAATAGTGAGGAAAGAGAGGGACTGGATTGGGGAGGGCCTTGCTGCTACTGTCAGCACTTTGGCTTTTACTCATTGTGACATGGAAGCACTGGAGTTTCGAGGAGAGGGTCTCAAAGCAGGGAGCCCAGCGAGGGGCTACTGTAGTCATCTAGGTAAAGGATGTGGCTTCAACAAGGCTGGCAGCCAAACCAGCTCCTTCCTCAGGGCCATCCCCAGGATCCCCTCCCAGGGTCACTCCGGTCTAAGCTCTCAGTTTACCTCCTGGCCGGCCTTTCTCTAGCTGCTATTTCTAAAGCCACTCCCTGCAATCCACCCACCCAGGCCCCCTCCCTCACTTTGTTTTCATTTTCTAACTACACTTTCCTCCATCTGAACGTGTCTGTTTACTTCAATGTACAATTTCTCCCTCCTTTACTTACTCCCACCAATATGTAAGCTCCATAAATATTTGATCACTATAATAATGCATGAGTGAATTAATGAATTAATGAATTAATGAATGGGCCAATGCACCAGATGATGCAGTCATCTGCTTGGCTGAATTTGTGTGAAACAACACAGACCTGTGAGTCACCGCAGATGACTGCCACATTCCCAGAGGTCTCCAGGAGCAGAGAGATCATATGCACCCTTGCTGACACAGTGAGCATCCAGTATACCTTTTGCCCTGGCTTAACTTTTTACAGTAACTCAAGGAGTTTTGATGACTCCCAGCAATGACAACTGGCCTCTCTCTGAACTTACAATGGTTCATGGTTTTAACAATCTCAAAACCACTCCCCGCTACCTAGCCAGTCATTCACCAAGCCCTACAGGGCCCACATCCTTCTTAATAACTTTTGAATTCTGAGCCCTTCTCCACCAACTCCTTGTCACTGTCTGTTCAGGCCTTCATGCTTTCTGACTCGACAGCTGGCTTCTTTGTTCTCCTTCAAACCATGCTCCACACTACTGACAAAGCAGCAATTCCAATTTTATCATGTCTACATCCCTCCCAAGCTTCAAATCCTTTCTTGCTCTCTATGGAGGACTTCAGGAGAAAATTCAAACTCTTGAGCAATGCATAGAAAGCCTTTCATTATAAGACTCAAACCTGTGTCTCCTCATCCTGCACTTCCCTCACCTGTTACCCGACTAACGGCCCATTTGTAGTTCCCCAAATATTCAGGCAGCTCAGACCTTCATGCCTTCTCTCCATGCTCCTCTGCCTAGAAAGCCTCATCCTTCCCTCATCACCCCTCCCACGGCACCCACACTCCTCTGGAGCTAAATCTAAAATACCCTTTAGAGTTCATCTTCTCCAGGGTGTGTTCTCTAACTCCACCATTTTATTCTGATGCCCCTCCTCTGTGCCTTTCTTGCTATGAGCACACACTTCACTGTTTTACGATCACTTGTCTATCGCCCACCATGCCACAGACCCTGGCAGGCACATACCAGCTCTTATTCAACTTAAAACAGTACAAAACACAAATTAGGTACTTACTAGTAAATATAAATAATTGTTGTGCAAAACACAAAGGAGCCATGGCATACAAATCAAGCAGTGGCTATTTAAAAGAACTCGGGGTAAACACCCAGTGCGATAGTTCTGAACAACAAAGGCCCAGATGCACTGGTTGCCATTCCTGAGGGGAGGTTGGGATGGGGATTCCTCAGGCCGGATTTTGAATTGTGTTGCTGACTGCTCTGCCCTCAGAAGTTAGAACAGTGCTTAGCATGGCAGGATATCAGGAAATACTTGCAGAATGAATGAAGAATTGTGGGGAAGCACGGGATTTGGTTGGAAAGTTTGTAAGGAGGAAAATTCTGAAAAAAGGAGTGGGCTGAAGGCAGCCCGCCCTGTTTATTGGAATTCTGACTTAGGGGAGTTTGGCCAAAGGCAGCACCCCTAATTGTTCCTTGAACTTTCCAAACAAGTATGTGCATGTGCAGACCCTTGGGTGTTTACCGGAATCTTTATCCTTAATCTTTAGGTGTCCTTGCTTAAAGGACACTGCAGACTTATGTGTCCCCCCAACCCCAAGATTACTTACCCTACTGATTGTATCTAAAAGATAAACTTTATCTCAAACTGCTGTTACAACAAAAGCCTGAAGAGGCAGGCAATCGGGGCTGTCTGGTTCCTTTAGCCAGGCAGTCCCTTAGCCCTCTCTTTCACAGCAATCCTGTGTCAGAGTAATCATTCATCCATCACTCGGCGTCTGCTGGTCAGCCCCAGCAAAGAATGAATGAGACACTTACTGGAACTGCTCAGCCACTGCACACTGAACCTGGGAGACATTCTGTAGCACAGGATAGACTCCACCACTTCTGTGATGTCAATGACAACAGCTAACATTCAATGAGGCCTGACTACCTGCTAGGCACTAATCTGAACGCTTAAACTATTTCTTTCACTCATCACAACAAACCATTTAATATGGGTGCTGCTTTACAAGAGAGGAGTGGAGGCACAATGGCCAACGTGGCCCAGGGAGGAAGAGCCTGGCTGCAGAATCTGGCTCTGACCACCACACACAGGAAAATGGCCACACGGGTGCTGCCTAAGCTCAGAGGCCTCATGGAGCTGATTAAACCTGTCTGACTTTAGTCAGTATAGAAGCATGAAAACTTGCCAAGGAAATCTCTGTTGACTAAAAAAAACATACACACACAAAAACGTTTAGCTGCCTAATTTATTAAGAATGGCCCCAGTTTTCTGAGAATGGGGAACTGCAACACGGGCTATTTTGCAAGAGTCCTGTGGCGATCACAGCGTGCCCTTCACTTGGCGTGTAGCATCTCACCCTCCAGCACTGTTCTTAAAACATGTGAGATTGAGGAAAGCTGTGAGGATGGCTGGAAGATCACTGTACTGAAATGAATGGATAACAATAGTAGCTTCTGAGTTCTGACCACCTACTATGCACCAGGTACTCATTAAGTCCTCACTATGCCCCTAACTAATTCTGTCTTCACAGGGACTCTGTGAGGTGGGAATTAGTATTGTCCATTTTTTTCAAATGAGGGGAGAGGTTCAGAGAGGCTAAGAAATTTGACTAGGGTCCTAGGGTCGCATAGCTGGTAGTTGTTAGAGCTGAGTTTTTAAAATCTGGTTCGGTCTGGCTCCACAGCCTGTGTTACCACTTTCCAGCCCAGTTGGCCTCCCAAAATGCTATGAATAGCGGCTGTTACAACCACGACTATCAAATCCTCCAAAGTACTTACAAAGAATTTTACTGTCAAACCTCCAAACCACAGCTTATTTTTGAGTCTATACAGCGCCTGCTCATGTTAAATAGACAATAAAACCAAAGTAAAAAAGAAATAGTGAGAAAGAAATTGCTGAAATCTGGGGCTCTGCTCACAAGCCTTTCAGATGCTGAAAATTCCAGAAGGCCAGCTAGTCAAATTGCAATATGTAATTCAAAAATCTTTACTGTAACTACAGCGTATTTTTCTCCCCCAAGGACTCTAATGCTATAATGGATGGAAGATGTGTGTGTCTACTGTGGAAGAAAATGGTGAGAAACAGTGATGCTGCCTTATCAGGGAGCCCAGGATGGAACCACAGATAATGGCATAGGATGAAATGTATGTATGGGGAAGTGGGTCAGGTGAAACGGGAAAGGTGAAACATTAATGGTTATTGAAACTGAGCAATAGATACATGGGAGTTCATTGTTCTAGTCAACCTACTTTTGCATGTGTTTGAAAATTTACACACACACACAGTCATGCTAGAATATGCCCCTGAGAGGTTAACAAGCTGGATTACATGCCTTCTGGGACACGGTAGTGTAACTGCTGGCCCCTGGCCTTGGGGGGAGAGGTCAAGGCTGAAATCGGGTTGGTTCTCCCTGCCCTGTCCTGGTCTGTTCCTGGCTAGTTAATCACCCAAGGCCCCAGCATGCCTCCCAGCCAAAAACTCTGCAGCAAATTCTGCTTTTAGGAGGAGGAGATGGGGCTGGGACCATTGTTTCTCAGAATAAAAAAGGAGTGCTCTAAGAACTGCTACGCCCTCAAACTGGAACAAGATAAAGGAACAGACTCAATTATCATGCAACAGGAATGCAGCAATGAGCTGGCTCTGAGGTTCCCTATGGGGATGATATCACTGCACAGAATAAGGACGTTAGTAACAAACCAGAAACCAGTGTGTGGCTATGCCAGGAGGGAAGTTGACGCCTGAGTTCTGAGCGAAGGGCAAACCCTAAACAAATTTCGACAGATTCCAGCCAGATATCACCTTGTTCCTTAACACTTGACAGAACAAATGGGAAGATTAGCCAAGCCCTTCTCATCTGAAGAAACAATGCCTCCTAGAAAACTGGCACCTGGTTATGAGGAGATAGCTTTACTCAGTTCACCCAAATGCAGGGGAATAGATCTACTGCATCCTTTAGAAAATAAGTACAAGACAGGGTAAGCAAGGCACAGATGGGTAAAACCAGCCTGCCTGGGCTTGCCTGCAGTGGGTTAGTTCAGCTGGTTCCAGAACTCTGTCTAGGAAAGATGTGTCATGGGTTCACAGAGTACTGCTATGTCCCATGACCACAGATTGTACTCCTAGCTCTAGTCAGTGATCTTTAAAGTATGTACCAAGGATCCCAAGTCCAAGGAGGTGGGCAGATGAGAGAATGTGGATGCAGTCATGCAGACCCATCCCCACTATTTAAAACACAATCCAGAGCACCCTGCAATGGCTTCCCGTTCCATAATATACACTAGGAGCCACTGCTGCATGGCTGGAAGATCCCTCTGCTGAAATGAATGAATAATAATAATAGCTTCTGAGTTCTGACCACTTACTATGTTCCACGTACTCACTACAGCCCTAACTCATTCAGTCTTCCCAGGGATTCTGTGAGGTGGGAATTACTATTTCAGATGAGGGGCTATGTTCAGAGAGGCTGAGAAACTTGACTAGGTTGAGAATAAAACCCACTCCTCACAGGCATTGCTCCCACCTTGTTCTGACCTGGCTGACTCTGCTCCAGCTGCATTCCTTGAACTCACTAACCTCATTCCTGCCTTGAGACCTGGCATTTGCAGCTTTTCTGCCTTGAAGGCTATCCCCCAAATCTTTACATGGCTTTCCAGCTCTCAGATCAAAAATCACCTTCTTAGAGAGGTCTTTCCTGACTACCCTAGCTCAAGTAGCAGCCCCAATCCCTTTCTATGAAATCCTGTTATCTTCTTCATACCACTTACTACTATCTAATACCATTATTTATTAGACTAGAGGCCCGGTGCACGAATTTGTGCAGTGGTAGGGTCCAGCCAGCCTGCCTCGCTGGGGGCCAGGGCCAGCAGGGGCGAGGGGCGAGGGGCTGCAGAAGGTTTGCCGCCTGGCCCTACCCCCCGCCCCCAATAGGATTGGGAGGGCATGCTGAGGGGCAGAGCCGGCTGGGGCAAGGGGCCATGGTTGTTCCGGTTGTTCCAGTCATTCCGCGGTTCAGTCACTGGGCTTTTATTATACAGGATTACTTTTCCCTTTTCTGTCTCTCTCCAGTAGAATGTAAGCTCCATGAAAGCAAGGTTTTGACTTTCTGGTTCACCACCATAATCACAGAACCTTGGGCAAGGAATACCCGGTAGGTTGGTAGCTACCTTCACGGTAGCTAAGGGCAAATTTTTCAAGCTCAAAATAAAGGCACTGGGCTTGCTTGATGAAGCTTTTTTTTCTAATATATAAATGTATATACATGAAAATACATAGTATCTACATTTAATAAGGAGTTCTTTTGAAAAAAACTAAAATTACATAAAATTGGGACTATCTTGGAGAAACTAAGACATATCTGATACATGAAATTGTATCCCTTCATTGTTTGATAAACATTTCTGATGACTGTGCCTCCAACACAAAAGTGTTTAGCTGTCAGTGGTCATGGACAGCAGAAGAACTGCACACTAGGGAAGGATGGGGTTCCTGGGTGAAAGTTGGTGCACAGGTGGGTCTGGGTGTTTGCGCAGGTGCAGAAGACCTCCAGCTCAGAATCCACAACTGACAGCTCTTAGAACCAGCGTGGCCTTCACTTACATTTGTTACTATTCATAAGGGAATATGTCTCTGTACTGTGCATTCAATCACCTGGGGATCTTATTAAAATGCAGATTCTGATTCTGAGATGGGGCCAGAAATTCCATATTTCTAACAAGTTCTCACTCAAGTGATATCCATGCTGCTCGCCAGAGGATTGCACTTGGAAAAGCAAAGATCTAGTACTACAAAATTACTACCCAGGAAACATGCCTCTAGACTAGCTCAGAAAGGAAGTGCTAACCATAGAGTACTTGCTCCCCAAGAAACAAAAATATAGAGAAGCTAATCAAAGGAAAGCAAAAAGGAACTTCCCTGGCAGGAGATGACAGCGTTCTTGAGTCACACTAAGCCAAATGTAGTAGAATAGAATCACTGCTGAGTGCTGACCTGTGTGAAGATCTGGAAAGTTGTTTAATTCTGTTAAGAGAATTGAGAAATACACCCTCTTTTGCAAGTTTGATATTTACAGCTCTTGGGGCCTGAGAAAGAAGAAAGCACTGCCAACTCTGTTAGCAACAGAACTTATGTGAACCCATTTCCCCCTTTTCCCTGTCTTGCTTGTCACAAACTAGTTGTTCTTCTTTTTTTTTTTTTTTTTCTGATTTCCCCTTCTGAAGTTTCCCCTCCCTACCACCAACCCCCAGCCCAGACCTCCACATCCAGCCCAGTGGGTAATGTGCTCATTGTCACCTGCCCCCCTACTCTGCTGCTCCTCCACTGGTAGGGACACCCTAAAGAGGGCAGGGCCACCCAGAGCTCTCACCCCATCCGAGCCTCCAGTCTCAATGGGGTGCTTCACAGCCTAAATAGCACTCTGCAGGGCAGGCATTACTCATCACAGGTGTTCATATGCATATCTCCTTGGAGACCTGGGTAGGAGTGGGGTGACTGACAGGCCAGGTTTTGGGCATTCCTGTGTCCTTTGGCAACCTTCCGACAATGCGTGGGCATCATCTGTCACTGTCCACAGTGACTACCTCCCCAGTCCACAAAAAGGGCAAAAAAACAAACCTGGCCTTTTCCTTCCAGTTTTTTGTGTTCCTTAAGAAGTCGCTCCACACGCATCACACTGTCTCCGATGTCTGTAAATTCTGCTTGCTCTGCCAACAAGTTGTCCAGGGCAAGCTTAACCTACAAGACACATTAGAACAGTCCAGAAGTAAGCCAATGAGCACCCACCTGGAGGTGGAGGTTTGCTGAACTCTAAGAAAACTCAAAAGTCCTAAAAGGATTCAGGACCAATGGATACGCAGCTCATTAGCTTTCAGATTAAGCAGGGGTGGGGTGTGGTTGCTGAGACACATATAGATGGAATAGTAAAGCTACATTCAACAGATTACCAATCAGAAAAGAAGAGAAACCATCACTGAAATACCATGTATGCCAACAGGGAAACTGGATTCTAGAACATTACTATCCCACTGAAAAAGTGAGAAGAGGATGTCTGAGAGGAAAGAGGGGGCTGGTATAGTGGGGTGGGGGGGGGGAGAAACCCCAATACCCAGAGTTCAAGGCAGACGAGAGAACTGGTGGTCACTGAACCATAAAAGGAAGCTCTATGAAACAAGAAAAAAACACCTCACAAAAATTGTGCTCAAAGTGCTGTAGTTGTAGGCATTGACTAAGCTTCAGGTGGTGCTTGGACCAAAACCGACTAAAGGCTTTTTCTGTTTCATCCAACTGAACTAGTAACCTGTCAAGAAAGAATGAGAAAGAGACATTGTGGTTAACTCTCATTTCCACAGGAGTCTGTGTAGGTTTATGCAGCTAACATCTATGTCTTTAGTCAGTGTTTTAAATTGTGGTAACGTCCTTATTATGAAAGTCTGTGTCACCTATGACTTTCTCATGGTCCCACTGCTTCCCATACCTTCCAGGACACCTTCCCTGCCAGGCAGAAACTTTGCTTCAGCGGCAATGCTTAGAATATGCCCCCGGTGACCTTACTTTTGTGCCTTTTCTTTGACAAAGCACATCACCCAGACAAACTGTAATTTGGAAATGAAACTCAGCCAATGCTACCACCTCCCCTGAAATCCTGGGATGACAGCATTTCACAGGAGGACGGGATGGCATTCTCATAAAAATATCTCTATAGCTGGATGCCAGATGGGTGCCATCGTTTTCCCATTGTTGCCTCTAATATTATTCTTTCTTGACCCTAACAAGACCCAAGAGTAGCTGTTCTAGTCTGTCCTTGGTTGTTTCAGATCATCTAGTGCTATTCTCTCCTAAAAAAGTATATTCCACCTTCACTCACCTTTCCATGGTAGCTACATTCTCAAGTTGATTGGGACTGAGTTTCCTGGTGGGACTTTTGGTTGCTGGTTGTTGAATACATGACAGCAATGTGGCCCCTTGATTTCCAAGTAATTTTAGCTCATCCTACAGAAAGAGAAATATAGTCTCTCTTAATAGAAATTAATGGGAAAAAAATCATTGGTAGATTTGGAGTACAGAGAATGGTATACCTTTCATTCAGGGAATTAAATGCTAACAATTCAAGCTGCAGATTTATAAAATTAATTAATTTATTCTTAATGGGTAATACTACACATGACAAAATTAAAAATGTACAAAAGGATATATATGGGGGGAAAATTAGTTTTTTGTCCACAGCCCATTGACTTTCCCTCTCCAAAAGCTACAGCTGTTAAGTTTTGTGTGTATCTTAAGCTGTTGTAAATTAAAAGCAAAATTAGTTAATGAAAACTGGTTCTAATCCAAGACAGTGACCAGAAACAAGAAAATGACAGATATTGAATGTTAAATGCTGGGAACTGCCACGCAATAATAATGCAACAATTGCTAGTTAACCAGAAAAAAAAAGAAAAAGAAAAACAAACAAACAAAAGAAACTTCATCTGGTCTCATCAAGGAACACCTGCCTCTCCTTCCACCTACTTCCAAAAAGTGCGGCAAGGAGCGCTGGTGGCACAGTGATTAGCGTGGCTGCCTTCCAAAAAGCTTGGCAGAGGTGGATGGCAATTTCAGTTTGATGTGGAAAGAGTCATACTTCCAAGGCAACTCTATTCTGCTCTTTGTACATGGAGACCTAGAGCTTTGCAATTGGGGAAGCGTCAGGCTAGCTCCTTCCAAATCCAACAGCTCTTGTCCTCTGCTCCCACAGGGCAGGCGTCTCAATGCCCTGAGCATTAACCATAGGGCAAGGCAAAAGAGGTGAAGCTTGGCCTAGAACTTTGCTCCCAGGAGTTCTGGTTTTGACTCCTGGGTCACACAGGATGCTGGTCTGGTATGCTGAGAGTGAAAGTCCCGTAGTTACAGAACAGTCACATCTATGCACATAAACACTGCCTCTCTTCCTCCAGGCCTAGCCACCTCCAGCCTTCACACAGCCTCCGGCTTATTCCCTGTGGGAGGAGTTTTATACTCTTCACTCTGGTCACAAAGAAGGCCGGCACTCTCAACCGCATGCCTTTGCTCCTTGTCTCCCACCCCACTCCAATATTCACGCACTTGAAGGCTTCCATTGTCCACTCTCAGCCTCATGACAGATTTGGTTTCTCTGACCTAGCCCTGCTGTGGCTCTCTCCACTGCAGGTAATGCCTCAAGGTGGCCACTTGGCTGGTATTTCTGCCTGACAACTGACATACCCCTTCTTTTCCATTCTAGGTATCAGCCCTCATTTCTTCTTATCTCATCAATGTTCATGAAATATTTGTAGGTTGGATGAGTTAATAATAGTCTAAAAGAAACCAGGTTACAGGTGAATAGACAAGATAAGCCTGGGAGAGGGGGAAGCACTCATTAGTAGTACTCATAGCTTTTCCCTCCTCTTCTTACCCACTAAAAAGAGTCCTGGCTTCTTTTCTCACTCAGTTTCTTAACTGCCCCTGAGCTTCCAGCATTCCAGCAATATTCTGGCATTAGCCATTATTAGCCATAATTAGTGTCTGTAGGTGTGCATGATGCAGAATTGGGAGGAAAGGTGGAGGGGCCCAACAAAGAAGAGGCATATTGATTGCCAGGGGAGATTGGAAGAGAGATACACTGTTCCAATACCATTTGCTAATGTTATCCATTCATGTACCTCCGTGAATTCATGCATATTGGGGCCCCAGGGGGAGGCCAGTGCCCAGGCACCAGGCAGGCTGCAGGCTGAGAGGTTCGCTGGAATGCCTGAACCAAGGATTCTTAAAAACTCCTAAGACTATTAGGTTATTTCTAGAGGCTATGTAATTCTGATTGTCTTCTTGATTATTTGTTACCTTGGTAATATTGATGGAATTGTCATCTCTGAACAAAACCGAATGAATACTGAATGGAACAAATACTGTATACTAAGCAGTATTCATATTTGTAAAGATTGCTTATCACATGATTGAAGGACCACTGACACTTTCCCCTTTCTCCTTGCATGATGAGAAAAGGCCTATGGGTCTGTTAAACTTATTTTAGCAACAACAACGAAAATGAGAATCTTACCCTCTTTTAATGAACACATGGTACAGTGTCTTAGTTAACTAAAGCACCTAAGTGTGGAAGGCCAATGCCCTGTGTTTCTGGCCTAAATAAGACCAGAAAGGAGGCGAGAATCACCTTTTGGGGGCTCAGGAGAGAAACTGTCTATTTCTGTGAACTGCTTCCAAAAGCTTTAAAAATTCACAGTTCTGAGGAATGAATCTTATATTGGTTTTTCACTTGGAAAAGGTGCTTTCCAAATGGAAAAATTATTTAGTTATTTATAGACCATTTGATAAGTAATATGCTCTAATAAGAATAAAATAATATGTTTAAATAACCATAAAAGCTACTAAGCATTTAATAAAAGTTTAAATGTATTATTTTTAAAAATATAAATCCTTTCTCTCTTTAAAGCATTTTTGGATGGAAAAAAAGGAAAAATGTAACTCTAGTTTAATTATCTTGGTATCTCTGCTTCTAATTTATAAGATAAGGAACCAAGAAATTAAAATTTATGTTAGATCAAAAATTAGCAATCACAAAAAGGCTTTAAAAAACCCTCTGTGTTGTCTTTAAAGGGATAATTAATACTACTTGGCAAAATAAAGACAGAATAATTATATTTTAATCTAAATTCAATTAATACTCTTACTCAAGATAAAGACATGGACATATTAAACTCTTTGGGAATTTTATCTTAAAATAATTATAGGTCTTTTCCAAGATTTTAGGGCAGCACAGAATATAAATGTAATATAACAGTTTAGTTTATGTAAGACTTTGCATTTACTTTCTTACTAAAAGGCTAATTAAATAGATTCTCTTAAATTCCTTTCTTTTGTCTTATTGGTTAGACATTGGTGTTTAACCAAATTGAGATAAGACGGCGTACAAAGTCATTTCTTACCAATGTCAGACAATACCGCAAATTATGTGGATCTACAAAGTTATTCCACCACATAATCGGAGGGAAGTTTTAGCCTTCTTTGTGCAGGGTTGTGTTTTAATACCAACAACAGCTTGTCGCCATGCCCAAGGAAGTGGCCTTATTTCATCTTGGAGGGTGGTTCTTTCCCTCCCCTTCCCTCTGTGGACTGCTTTGCCTGTGTAGACATGATGGAACACCCATCCATCTGCCTTTCCCAGGAACTCTCACTGCACATACAGCAGGACCTCCCTAGCTGATTTTACCCCTCAGATACGTGTCCTCGTCTAAAATAAAAAATGTTTTACTTTTTCCCCAAGGGCCTCCCCGATTGACCACATTGTCACCTCAGTGCTTCTGCCCTGCAACCTCTCCAAACCATCCTTGGATCGAGGCAGAGAGCACACTTGCTCATGAGCCCAGGCCCAGAGCTCGGTGCCCAGTGCCTTCCTGACATGCTCCACATTCTCAACATCACTCAGGTATACCAGCTGACCGCTCTGAAGGCTCCCAGGGTCTATGACCTGTGGGCTGGGACCACCAACCCTTTTCTGGCAAACTTCGCAGAGGCACCCTAGACCTGGCCTCTGCACCCCATACCATCTCTTCCAAGAATCATGGGAGGTGAACTTGGGCAAAGAAAAAGGTCAACCGTTTAAGGGATATTTTTTAGGGAAAATTATCTAAATGCTTCCAGGATGTTTTCCAGCTTTCACAGTTCCCAGCCAGATCTTTTGGTGGCTCAGAGTCATCTTGGGGATAGATTCTGAACTCTTTTTCAATAGCAACCTCCTTAAAAAGAGAATTAAACAGTGCTCCCTGACACATGGAAGCATTAATTTGCTTCATTAATGAGACTCTGAGATTCCCCGAACTAAACTATGGGTTCTTTGAGTTTGCAGTCTTTGTTTATTTGTTTTCCTGGCAGGTAGTGTTGAGTAGTTGATAAATGTTGAATAAATGAACAAATAAAACAACCACTTAGCAAAGCATGTTTGCAGATTTTGGGTCACAGACGAGAGTTCAGCTCTTCCCAAGCTCCATGCAGCAGGAGTGCAGGCAATGCTGAGCTGTCTCAGCCTGAGGCAGCTAATGAACTGAGGCAGCTAATCCTCAGTTCGCTGCCCTCTTGAGTTCTGGTCTTCTATGAAATAATAGATTCCACATTCGGTCTGTTTGTGTTTCTGGAGGCAGAAAAGGGCTTGACACCCATGCAGTCAGCCCCAGGAAGACTTCCCTTCACTGCATGAAAGAACCTGCCAAGCTCCCTCGTTGGCAACTCATAAAACCAGTTCTTGACGTATTTTTTGTGAATCACTTAATCGGTGCCTCTCCTTAAACCCAGTTCAGAGCATTTTCCCTAGTCCTCTTCCTCAAATTATTCCCCAAATAAAAAGACACATCCCTGGGAAAGTGAAGCAGTCTGTCAGCTTGGTAGGCAGCCCCAGATTTCACAACAGCCCCAGAAAAGCTTATGCTTCAAAAGCTGACTCCCTGCTCTCACTGCACTTTCAGCCTCTTGCATCTTGCTCTGTCCTGAGCTGCCTTTGAAGGGATGCTCGCCCACCTCATCTCGCCAGCACAAAGCTGAAATGAGTTTCCCTTTGCTGGGATGCTTCTCACAGGTCTTAACTGCAATCCTTTTACACCCACCATCCAGTCTCAAAGAGGTTTTCTCTTCGCATAACGCCCACCGCCAAAGGCGGAAGATGTTCCGTGACTTCCAAGTCAGTGGAGAAGAGGGGAGAAGAGGACTTAATTCTGCTCCCAGCTCTCTCCAGGAGGCTGACCATCTGCTGGCACAGAGGCTGGACTGTGGGAGGCCACTGACCACTCACCTGCAGCTTGTCCCGCTGCTTTGTGTGGGACATGAGCAGCTCTGCAGTAGATGGCACGCCTCTGGGCAGCTCTGTTGCGGCCAGGCGGGCCCCAAACGTCTGAAGCATCTGGGCAGTGGTCTTCAAGGTCAAGGCAAAGTTTTCGATGGCCTGGGAGGGCACACAATCATAACAGTGTGGTGGGATTAACATTCACCAATATGCTTTATTCATGGAAGGACAGGAGGATTAGCTACCATTCTCTGAGTACCTACAAAAGGCCAAGTATTATACTCAGTGCTCTACCTTTGTCTACCAGCTCAATAATCCAGAGTGGAAGGTATTTTATCCAGAGAGAGAATCATTGATCGGCTTCCTCCTGCACGCCTCCAACTGTGGATCGAGCCCACAACCTTTCTTTCTTCATTTGCTAGATTTTTAATACATTACTTTAAATTCTGTTTCTTTGTTATGGGGTGAGGCTACAACATTAGTATTTCCGGAGGATGAGGCCCAGAAAGCAGGATTTTAAAAAGATTTCCAGGTGATTCTAATGTGCAGCCAAGGTTGAGAACCACTGCTCTAAAACAAGGTGAATGCTCGTACCTAATTAAATGTCGTTCAGGTGTTGGGCAACCTGCTTCCAAACTGACCAGGTACAGACAGGTGTGCTGACACCACATGTTGCCATCAGGGTGGGCATGGAGCTTCTGATTTTGCTTAAAAAACCTAATTTTTTCAAGGGCATAGGGGCTAAAAGAGCAGGGGAAGGGGCATGACAACTTTTTATAGAAACACATTATCTGGTGAGTTTCAATTTTACTTTTTCCTCAGTATTTCTGACCCTTCTAGTTTAGCATAATTTCCACAAATATGAATAATAGGACCCTATATAAGTCAGGTGCTTTCACAGCTTCCTGTCTGTCTATACATTAGACTCACCTGGGGAGTTCTGTGAGCCACGAATGGCGGAGACCCATCCCAACTCAAATAAATTAACTTCTCTGAGCTGTAGGAGGGTTTTGGCTCTTCGAAAATTCCCCAGGTGCATTCTAAGTCGAGTCCCCAAGACTCCCATGCCAGACAAGGAGGTGAGGTGAAGGGCGTCAGCAGGAGAAACTCCAGCCTTTTCCCTTCAGCCTACTTTTCTCCCTGCCTGTGGCTTGGAAAACCCAACCTCCCCAGTGGTAGGTAGTCATAGGCAATGACCTCCCAACACCTGATCTTAATCAACCCTGTCTTCAAGAAAACACGGAGAGACACTGAAAACAGCACACAAGTTGGTACTCACAGTTCGATGACTGATCCACTGGCTGTGGCGATATTCCAGAGTTCCCCCTAAGTCCTCTGTTAGTTGGCTTTTGTCAATGTAGCCTTGAAGGTCAGAGACAGAATTTAACATAACGATCTATAAGAGGAAACAAATTAATATATTCCTCACAGACGATTAAATAGTAGCTCATCTGGATTCTACAGTTAAGTAGCACTTCAACTCTGCCTTCTCGGAGATTTATATCCAAAATGGTTATGATGTCCAGCAGAGACAGTCCCTTTCCACTTCCCGTCTTTGAGAGAACAACGCCAGCCAAAGTGTTGAAGAGTCTGAGACAAAACAGCGACTTGGATAAGGGAGCTCAGTTCTAAGCTGCCTAGAAGTCAGGTCTTGCTTGAAGTGAATTTTTGTCCAAAGTTCTGAGGTTAAGGTCTACACGTTAGCCACCAAAATCAAGCGCTGTACTGAGACCTAAACATCTGTGATGAGAACCCCAATCAAGGGTGGGCCGGTGAATATCAAAATAAAATTAGAAAACAGGGACCAACTGAGGAGTGTGCACTGAAAAGAGTCACTGCATTGATGCACTCCCATGAAGAATGTTGATGTACCCCCAATTTACCCTTATGGAGGAGGTTCGGAGGTAACAGGGAGGGGGTTTTCATAAATTAACAATCCTGCTGATGAACACACCTGTGTGCGAATGCCCACACATCTAGAGGAAGGTGACACAGTCCAAACTGCCCCCAGGCAGGGCCCTGGCTCTCTGTCTCAGGCCATACACCACACCTCCTAGTCACTCCTGATCGGAAGCATGGGCCCCTCCCTCCTATCTCTGAAATGTGTCCCCGGATGCCTTCACCTAATGACCTTATGTTTCTTCACTCTTTGTTCATTATTTTGAAAATTGATTCTTGGTCAGAGAACATAAGAATATAGGCTTTCACCCTGGCCGGTGTGTCTCAGTGGGTTGACTGTCATCCTGTGCATGGAAAGGTCATCATCTGGATTCCCAGTCAGGGGACATGCCCAGGTTGTGGGTTTGATCCCCGGCTGGGGTTCGTATGTAAGGCACCTGATTAATGTTTCTCTCTCTGTCTCCCCCTCTACCTTCCTCTCTCTGAAATCAATAAAAATATAATCTTTAAAAAGAATACAGGCTTTCTTCTATTATTATATCGTATTAGTCAAGTGATAAGTCCACTTTGGAATGAAAACAATATTAAGTTAGGGCCTAAAGTCTATAGGTAAAAACAAAACTGATGTATTCATCCAACAAATATGCACTGAACTTCTAATAAATGCCAGGCTCCAAGGGATAAAATAGCAAGCATGACAGCCCTGCCTTCAAGGAACTAAGGTTTAGTGGGATGTGAGTGCACAGAGCACACTGTTAACCTCATTGGCCCCAGGACTTTCTCCTTCATTTCTGAGAAAGAGTTTGGGAATTTTAAAAAATATTTTTATAATAGGAGAAAAAGAAAACGGAAAAACAATGTGAATCCATCTGTGTCTTTCTTCCCTAAAAATTTTAAACCACTTTTTGGAGCTTCAAAAACATTTTTAGTCTTTCTACAATTCGAAATTATAAGACACATAACAGGAAATTATCAAGTGAAAAAATAATTTTCTTCTTCTCAGGACATCAGCAGCTATGGTAATACTGGGATTTTTTTAAAAATAGCATTATGAAACATCATATTGGGCAGAAATAACTTTGCCCCACAGCCTGGAGTTTCAGAAACCTATCGTTCCAGGCCCAGGTCTTCCGTGCCACCTCACTGGCAGGACTCCGCTTTCTCATCTTTCCCAAGGAAACCCCAATAAAGACTCTGATCTAGGTTTTCCCCTTCATCCTGCTTCTGCCTTCTGAGCAAAACCAGGGCTTCCCCTGTGGGCTTCAGTGACATGAGGTGACTCCCTCTCTGAGACCTGTGAGTATAATGAACTTCCTCCTTCAAGCTCATTCTCAGTTCCTCCTGGGCACCACCAGCTTTACTGAACCATATCCAACATGTACATTCTTAGAACAGCTGCTATAGATTAAGAATGTATCTATACCTTTTCATTATACATTTATGCTCTTATCTATAATTGCTTAAAGCTGTTCTTTCAGGGAGATCTGTGATCATACCATTATGAAAGAAACCTTTCCTGTATTCTGTCACACAATCCATGTTAAGAAACCAATTTGTATGACTCTAGCCTTAGTCACTTCACATAATTTTCTCAGGCTGCTATGAGGATAGCTGTTTTAGAATAGATAGGTGCCAGCAACCGGCTCTCAGAAACCCTTTGCTATTTCAGAGCAACCCTCTCCTTGGCTAAAGAAAGGCACAAGGCTAAGTCACTTAACTACCATTACATCCCGGTCCACCTGGTTCTTGTAAGAATCAGGCAAAATGAACTCCTTTCCCCTCACTCAACCTGTGAAAATATAACTATTATCTCACTAGAAATGAGCAGGGAGATCCTATATAATAAAAGCCTAATATACAAATCGACCAAATGGTGGAACAACCAGCAGAACGACCGGTCACTATGATGCGCACTGACCACCTGGGGGCAGACGCTCAATGTAGGAGCTGCCCCCAGCCCACAGGCCCCAGGCCAACCAAGGAGAGTGCCAGTGGGAGCACCCCCCCACAATCGCCCTGCCGGTCACCCCACAGATCAGCCCTGATTGCCGGCCAGGCCTAGGGACCCTACCCGTGCACAAATTTCATGCACCAGGCCTCTAGTGTTATAATAAGAGAGGACAGGATGCTACACAGTAAAGTGCTAATATCACAATAACGTTTTACTAACAAAGTAAAGAAAGTAACAAACAGTTTGAACTGTCATAAAAAGAACTAAATATATTTTGAAGATTGATTCCATCAGCATGGTAACCTAGGACTCTGAATTCTGTGGCACAGCAGAGCTGTGAGGAGAATGCAATCTTCTCTGTAAGTTTATCTTATAGAATAAACTTTTCGCATTAAAAAATACCCTGCTAAATGTGCCAATAGTTTAGCTGACTGAGAGTTTTCTAAAAAAGTTGATTTTAGTTTAAAATTAAAACTATGATGTTTGGGAATCAATACATTACCACAAACAGAAGTAGCTAAAGATATAGTGTCAAGATAAAGCAGGTGTTCATTCTCTCCTTAGTATATAGATGCACCATGTGAGAAGCAGGGCATAAATCACATATGTACTAGTATCTGTGTACATACTGTCACGTGGAGAGGTGTGTTTTATACACAACCAGGGAAACAAACACATGACATTTGGTCAAATGCTCAGTTCAAATTCCTTGTTTGGGGGCATTAGATTTGTCTCAATCACTTACTACATATATGTATATGTATGTATATATCTTTATATGTATATATATGTAATATATATGTAATATATTATTTACAGTATGTAGAGATAAATATATTTATGTACGTATTATATATTATATTATATTATATAGTATTAACATCCTATCTAATAAACAGGGAATATGCTAATTGACCCTCACACCATTGCAAAGATGGTGGCGCCCACAGCCAATAAGGAGGGAATATGCTAATTGACTGCCACGCCCTCAAAGATGGCAGTGCCCACAGCCACAAGATGGCGGTGCCTAGTTCCCTCAGCCCAGCTGGGGTGGCAGGCACGTGGCAAGGCCAGGCCCACCCCCAGGCAGGCACAGCCTTGCTGCACACCTGCCTCCAGAGTCCCCCAGTCCCCTCAACCTCCCAGCCACCCAGGGCTGGCCCGAGGCTCAGGTAACCAGGGCCGGCCGAGGCTTGTGCTGCTGGCAGTAGCAGCAGCAGAGGTGTGATGGGGGTGTTGCCTTCCCCTGACTGCCAGGTCGCCTCCCGCCCCTGAGGGCTCCCAGACTGAGAGAGGGGGCAGGCCGGGCTGAGGGACCCCCTCCTCCAGTGCATGAATTTTCATGGACCCCTCAGGGGATGTCCGACTCCAATCTGGGATCCCTCTCACAATCCTGGACTGCTGGCTCTTAACTGCTCACCTGCCTGCCGGTCTGATTGCCCCTCACTGCCCCCTCCTGCTTGCCTGATCACCCCTCACTCCCCCCCCCCCCCCCTCGATGACGTGGTTGCCCCTCACTGCCCCACCCTTCTGGCCTGGTTGCCCCCAACTGCCCCTCCAATGGCCTGTCACCCACAACTGTCCCCCCAACCAGTCTGGTCGCCCCACGCAGCCTGCTGTTCAGTTGTTCATCTGGTTGTTTCGGTTGTGATGGCCCCTGGCTTTTTATATATTAGGATATTAATGTAATGCATGTATTGATTATAGTAACATAATATAATATGGACTGGCTGGCATGGCTCAGTGGTTGAGCTTCAATCTATGAACCAGGAGGTCACGGTTTGATTCCCTCTCAGGGCACATGCCAGGGATGTGGGCTCGATCCTCAGTAGGGGGTGTGCAGGAGAGAGCCGACCAATGATTCTCATCATTGATGTTTCTATTTCTCTCTCCCTCTACCTTCCTCTCTGAAATCAATAAAAATATATTTTAAAAAGCATAATATAATATGTACTATATCTGAAGAGATGTACACATCTATATAATAATGTGTAGAAGCAAGTAACAAATAATAAAGCAAGTGGGGATAAAATGCTACCCGGTAAATGAATCTGGGTAAACATCATGAAATATTCTTTGCACTATTCTTATCCTTAAAGTTGTTTTCATGAGTTTGACATTATTTCCAACTAAACAAAAAATATATATTAGAAACTTATCTATAATACTATAGATTTATCTTATTTATTTTTCTATTTTTTTGTTTTTACATTTTTCAATTGGTATATCATTTACATTTTTAAATGTACAGACTTTAAGGGTACACACATGTAACACCATCCAGTCAAGATGTAGTACATTTTCCCAGAAAGTTCCCTAACACTTCCTTCCAATATCTACTCAACCATACCCTAACAGCAGCCACTGTTCGATATTCTATCTACCATAGCTTAGTTTGCCTCTTCTTAAACTTTATATTCATTCATTTATATAAAACGAATCAGAGTATGTATTTGCTAATGTCTAATTTCTTTCTCTCAAGGAAATATTTTTGAGATTCACCCATTGCTGTTGCATGTATCAGTACTTCACTCCTTTTTAGTGCTTAATGTTATTTCATTATATGAATATGCCACACTTTCTTTTTTAATTTATTTTTTAAAATATATTTTTATTGATTTCAGAGAGGAAGGGAGAGGGAGAGAGAGAGAGATAGAAACATCAATGATGAGAGGGAATCATTGATTGGCTGCCTCCTGCATGCCCCCTACTGGGGTTCGAGCCCACAATCCAGGCATGTGCCCTTGACCGGAATCGAACTCGGGACCCTTCAGTCCTCAGGCCGATGCTCTATCCACTGAGCCAAACCAGCTAGGGCAGTGGTCAGCAAACTCATTGGTCAACAGAGCCAAATATCAACAGTACAACGATTGAAATTTCTTTTGAGAGCCAAATTTTTTAAACTTAAACTATATAGGTAGGTACGTTGTTATTAACTTAATTAGGGTACTCCTAAGGCTTAGGAAGAGCCACACTCAAGGAGGGCTTTAATTTATTTTTTGTTAAAGTACAGTTGGCATGCAATATATTAGTTTCAGGTGTACAACATAGTGATTAGACATTAATATACCTTACCATGTGATCACCATGATAAGTCTAGTAACCATCTGTCACCAGACAAAGTTATTATGATATTTCTGTAACTGGAAGGTTGTACCTCTTATTCCCCTTCACCTTGTTCACCAATAGCCCCACCCCCACCCCTCTAGCATCAGTTTCTTTCTCTGTATCTATGAGTCTGTTTCTGGTTTTTGGTGGTTTTTGTTTTGTTTATTCATTCATTTTGTTTTTAGATTCCACATATAAGTGAAATCTTACAGTTCTTACCTTTCTATGTCACAATTTCTTTACTCATTCACCTGCTAATGGACATTCTTGTACATGTTTTTTTGTAAGCATATGTTTTCATTTCACTTGGGTGGGTCATAAGTGAAGTATATGTTTAACTTTATAAGGAACTGCCAACTGTTTCCACTATGCTTGTACCATACCTTACCACTTCCAATAGCTGCAAAGTTTTTAACCAATTGGGTAGACTATAATTTATTTAATCATTCCCTGTTGTTTGGCATTAAGCTGTTTCCAATTACTTACTATTACAAACAATTTGGTAATGAACATTATTGTATCTGTAGCTTTGTGCACATGTATGAAAGTATCTGTAGAATAACTTTTACAGGTAGGTCAAAGAGTGTTTACATTGTAATTTTGATAAATACTGCCAATTAGTCCTTCATATTTGTTATTACCAACTTCATTTCTATCAGCAAAGTATGAATGGGCCCTTATCCCCACATATCTGCCAAAGTTATAGGTAAAATCTTTAGTTTGATTTCCTTTTATAAGTACCACAATCTTGGTTTTTATTTTCACTCTATAGTTGCCTATATTTATGTCACCCCCATATTTTAGATCCTTATTTTCTTTCACCCATACTACTACAATTTCTCTCCATCCTTTTATCTCCTTCTATAGTCTTGGACACCCACCTTCAGAGTTATGTGACTCCAGTACCATTTACCTAAGTCACTCCTCAACTCAAAAACCTTCACTGGATCCCCATTGCCTACTGAATAAAGTCCAGACCCTTATCCTTATATGTAAGACCTATTTCATTTATTCTACCTTTTCTTTCAAAAGACTATCATATATATATATATATATATATATATATATATATATATATATATATATATTACAACAAGGGGTTCCCCCCTGAACTTCACATAAAGGAAGTGTACTTCCTTCCTCCAAGTCCTTACATACACTGCTTCCTCTGCCCAGATGTCCTTCTCTCCCTCTCTGCCTGTAGAGTCCTACCTTCTTAAACACCCAGCTCCATCCAGCCTGGCCAGCGTAGCTGAGGGGTTGAGTGAAGGCCTATGAACCATGAGGTCAAAGTTCAATTCCTGGTCAGGGCACATGCCCAGGTTATGGGCTCCATGCTAAGTGTGGGGCCTTTAGGAGGTGGCCAATCTCCTCATTGATATTTCTATCTCTCTCTCCCTCTCCCTTCCTCTCTGAAATCAATAAAAATATATATATTTTAAAAAACAGCTCCAGTGCCATCTTTTCCACTTGCCCCAACTAAATGAAGACAAGATAAAAGGTCATGCTCACCGGTACTTTCATTTTAAATTCATCTTGATAGTATTTAATTCCAATGTCAGTGACTGTCCTCTGGATAAAGCGAGATGGACGAAGGATGAATATGAGCTGCAAGTTTCCAGGAAATGCTACCTGGAAGGGTCATGAAAAGTGTCAGGGTAAATATCACATTCACTGGACTCCTCTTGCCTAAGATCACAAATGACAAAGTTAAGGTGGACACCATGGATGCCAAAGAATTTGAATACATTTCACATTTCAGAGCTAAAGAGATCTTAGAGATCAGATAATCCAAACCACTCCATAAAAACCAAACTAAATCAAACACACAAAAAATGGTTCTGATTATTAAAACAATTCATACTATTTATTGAAAAGTTGGGAAATAAAATTATACATTAGAAAAAGAAAACCACTTATGATCTCATAGCCATTTTTAATATTTTAACTGAATTACTTATAAGCTATTTTCTCTGCTTAAACATTTTTATCATGGTTAAACTCATATTATAGAAATATTTTGTAACCTACCCTTTTCATTAAATACCATGAGCTTTTATGCTTGATATTAAAAATTATTTAGAAATATTTTTCATGGGTGCACAATTTATTTAACTATTACTTATTGCTAGTGATTTAGGCTTGTCCATATTTTTGCTATTGAAATAACACTGAAATGAACACCTTTATCCATATTTTGGAACATGTTTTTAAGATAGCTTCCTGGAAGAACTACTGAGTAAAAGGCTTAGTATTTTAGGGTTCTTGATGCATGTTATTGCCATGTTGCTTTCAGGAAGCATTGTCTTCATCTTGAGCTGAGGTCCTAAAAAATGAGATAACTCAGATTCATAGAACAACTTAGTGGCCAAGTTAAGAATCTCACTCTTCCTTTCCTCGTGGCTTTCTATTCTTCCAGTGGTTCCCAAAAGCAACCTCCCATGGTGCTTTTTAGAAAAAAGTATCTGGCCTTTGCCCTGGAATGTTCTGATTCATTAGGACTTAAATGAAGTCCAGGTATCTGTATTTTCAATAAGTGCATGAAGAGATTCTGATTGGTAGCCAGGGATCCTGCACTACGGTATCTTTTATGCATACAGTGATCGATGTGATTCTTGGACAAATTAGTCTCAAGTATTAGATCAGTGGTTCTCAACCTTGGCTGCACATTAGAATCACCTGGGAATCTTTAAAATCCTGATTTCTGGGCCTCATCCTCCAGAAATTCTGTTTCTTTGTTACTAATGTTGTGGCCTCACTCCATAACAAAGAAACAGAATTTCCGGAGGATGAGGCCCAGAAATCAGGATTTTAAAAAGATTCCCAGGTGATTCTAATGTGCAGCCAAGGTTGAGAACCACTGTATTAGATGATTCAAGTGTCTGCTATGGACCTTGAGAAATCAGAGCTCCTCAGAGGTCAGACCTCTGGAATAGCCATGGGTGCTGTCAAGTGTCCAAATCATCAACCATCGTTGTAGTGACCTCCCCCAAAAATCCTGTAACCAAAACTAAACCAGCGAGGTCAAACAATCCACGCACAAAGGAAGGGAGACTTCCCTTCTCCCATGTTTGAAATGCAACGTCCTAAACAGAACCTTGCGTTTTGTTATGTCACAGCAGGACATGAGCAGAGACACTCCTGGTGTGTGGCTGAGGCTCTACAGCAATCTGAGGGAAACGCTGTGTGCGTGCAGATCTGTGTGTGTGACTGCCTCTGCAAGGAGGCATAGGTGAGACTTCAAATGTCCCTCTCCTGCCTGGGCCTCTGTACACACATTACCACCCTGCCACATCCCATCCTCCTCGGCCAGTCCTGACTGCCCCAGGGAGTCCATGCTTTGGTGGAAATGCTGGCATGGTTTGCCCTGTGGTGTCTCTGCCTGCCCATGTGACCGAGTTCTCTGGTCTGAGGTCCCTACAGAGAAAGGATACATCTACTTGCTAAAAGGCAACAAACAGGGATAAAAATCAGGCTAATGAGATAAAAAAGGAAGCCCATCCAAGGTTGCACAACTTAATGCCAAAAGTAAGTACACCTTCAATCAAGCTACTTAAATATCATTTTGTCTGGCTTAGCCTGTGTCTTTCTGATATGTGAAAAAATAATTTGAATACTGAAAAGAAGACTGTTTTAAAGTGGGTGGCCCCCAAAGTAAACTCTAAGACAGGATTTGGGTATAAAGAGTTTATTGAGGAGGCGATCCCAGGCAGCACATGAGGAAGTTGGGGAGCGGGGGCGAGACAGTGATGGCTAGAGAGCCAATACATCAAAACAGGGCCTGCTCTGGGCAAGAAGGCTGGGAGGCCCTGGCTGGTGTGGCTCAGTTGGTTGAGTGTCATCCCCATGCACCAAAAGGTTGCCGGTTCAATTCCGGGTCAGGGCACATGCCTGGATTGCAGGAGGCAGCAGATCGATGTTCTGCGCTCACATCGATGTTTCTCTCTCTCAGTCCGTCTCTCCACCTCTCTCTCTCTAAAAATCAATAACACTTTGTGTGGTTTTTGTTATTGTTTTTTTTTTGAAGGGCTAAAAGCCTCTGAGATGCTATATGGAATATACCTCAGAAGTGTCCCACTGAAGCTGGGGTATTTATCCACCAACTTCTATGACTCAATAGCTGTAGGTCACTCCTGGGGCATTAACTTCCCAGGATTCTCTACCTACCCCTCTTCAATGACCACAGAAAGAGGTAAAGTAGAGAGACTCAGGAAGCCTCTGACATGGAAAGGAATTCTCTGCAGTGACCTTCAGGTGGCAGAGAGGATATGGGTGTGACATAACAAAGACCTTCCCAAAATTTGGCATAAAATAATCACCTTTTCCCTGTGACTTTGATATGAAATAATTTGAATAGAATATGTAAATTACTTTTATTTAAAAAAGCACAAAAATAAATATTTACAGCTATTCGTGTCAAGGATGCTTTTATGGAGCTCCACTTGTCCCTTCGTCTGTCGATAACAATGACGAACCCGATGCCGGCAGCCTCCACACTGCAAAAGAGGGAGGTCAGTGTCAGAGACCAGGTGAGACACACGGGTTCTGGGCGTTTCCTCAGGGGATGCAGTCTACAGCCTCCATGGCGCTCCAGGATCATGTGTAAACGCCCTGCATGGCACAAGGGAATAACTGGGTCTGGCTTCCCTGACAAAGGAACCATCTCCTCATCCCAGCTGGCAGCCTAAACAGCACAGAGATAGCTGGTGTCTCAAACCCTCTCACGGCCTCTGTTTCTGGCTGGCAAAGTATGAAACACCCAAGAGCACACATGCTCATGCCTGAAAGAAGATGCAAGTGTCAGTTGAATACCACATGTCCCAGTGTAGGCGGAGGACCTCAAGGCGGAGCTCTGCCATCTCCCCACTCCCAAGACTGGCATTCAGGGAGCTGTCAATGTCCTCCCTAGGGGTCATTCCGAGAGGTGCTCAGAAATAACACGGGTCAATGGGAAAAACAACTCCCTCCCAGTGCCTGGCCATAAACGGCCAGCAAACCATGTGTGTGAGAAGGTATCTTCATTAAGACCAAAAGGAAGCTGCCTGGTCTCCTCTTAAGACCCCACAATATTCTCACAAAATCCTTTTAAACTGAAGTCCTACAAGGGAAAACTTTTTTTCTCTGTTTGGGAGGAAGTAGAGAGGAAAGAGCAAGGGCTTTGGGGCCTGGTTCCAATCCTAGTGCTGCCACCTACTGGCAATGAGACGCTGGGGAGATCACTTACCTCTAAGGCTCAGTTTCCTCATCTGTAAAATGAGAACACCACCACCAACAGTAATGTGGTTGAAAGCACATTTTCTGAAGCCAGACTGCCAAGGTTTGAAACCTGGGCTTCTCCCATTTATAGACTGTGTATTTTAGAGGGGACATTACTTAGTCTCTATAGCTTCTCAGACTCCTCATTTGTAAAACAATAATAGTACCTATCTATAGGGTTGATGTGAGGATTAAGTGAATATGTAAAATATTAAATGAGATGTATAAAATGCTCAGAACAATGCCTGGCATGTGATAATACTGTATAAGTACTATTATTACTATTTCTTATGTGCTTGTTATGGAGAAGATAAGACATAAAGTATACAAAAAGGATCTGACCTATAATAAACCTTCAATAATTCTCTAATATTAGGAAAAGGTAAGCTTTGCTCTAAAAAGTTTTTGTAGGTGAATAAGGCAGAAGATCTAAGCAAAATCTGTAAGAAAATGTAAGTACTTATCTGAAGTAAGCATCACTAGGCCAGCCCATTACCACAGCCCCATACTGACCCAGCCTTTCTTACTGAGAACATTTTCCAGGAGGGGTGGGCTCACTGGGTGGGAGAGGGAGAGATTGGAGATTATGAATGGAAAGTGGCCAGGATTTGAGGGGGGTGGTTGTCAAGAAGAAAAACCTCAGAGAGGGAACCCCAGAAGTCTTTATGGACATTCTACTTTAATGTTTGTGACCTGTACCCCACAAGTGTAGGTGAGACTCCAGGAGGCTGGCAGAGAATAGCTACTGCACATGTGAGAACTGATGAGAAATTCTGAAACGTGCACATTCTGGAGATAGACAACTGGTGTTTAGGCCCAGCCAGAAGAGACAGACTTTGATGAACACCCTGTGTATTCAGGTGAAACTCTTATAAAGGCCACATTCTAGCACACATGAAATACCATCAGAGTTGCCATAGGATTAAGGCTATACTCTAGGGGTAAGGACAAAACAGAAGTTTTGGAGTTGCCCTAAGAAAACCTAAAACCAGATCCCAGAAATATCAAGGTGATCCACCAGTAATTTAACTGCCTGGCAAATCAAGATCTAATATTATTTGTAAGTAAATAAGCCTCCACAACATATCATCTACCATATCCAGCATAAAATTAAAAAATGAATGGAACTGCAAAGCAGCAGGGAAAAGAAACCAATAATCAAGAGATAAAATAGTCAATAGATACTGTCTCAAATATGTTTTTGTAGCTGGCAGACAAAAACTGCAAAATAACTATGATCAATATGCCATATTGGTGGATACACAAAGTGGATTAAAAGCTGCATTATTTCAACAGAGCATAATTAAAATCTATAATAAAGAATCAAGTGGACCTTCTGTAATTACAAAACATCAATACCTGAAATTACGAATGCAGATTTAACAGCAGACTGAACACAAAAGAAAGAGCTAAATGTGTTCTGACTCCAAAATATCAGAAAAGTATTGTGAATGTGGTATTTTTCTTAACTATATGGTATGTAAACAGGTAAATATATATAGTTGATATCTGTATACTTTGCTATATGCAAATTATACCTCAGTTTAAAAACTGAGTGAATCCAATAAATTCAACTTGTGAAAAAAAGAACTTGTCAAGCTATGAAATAAGAACTGAGTCCAACGTAGGGCAACCAATCATTCCAGTTTGTCCAGGACTGAGGAGTTTCTTGGGACACAGAACTTTCAGTGCTAATATGGAAAACCAACACGATTGGGAACCATAATTCAAATACCTAATTCCAAACACTAATATGATGATCACTGGCATACTGCTTTTGGGGCTTCTTACAGAAGGAAATCAAACTACTCTTTTTAAAAAATATATATATATATTATTGATTTTTTACAGAGAGGAAGGGAGAGGGATAGAGAGTTATAAACATCAATAAGAGAAACATCCATCAGCTGCCTCCTGCACACCCCCTACTGGGAATGTGCCCACAACAAAGGATGCTGCATGCCCTTGACCGGAATCGAACCTGGGACCCTTCAGTCTGCAGGCCGGTGCTCTATCCACTGAGCCAAACCAGTTAGGGCCAAACTACTCTTTAGGATCACTCATGTTTACTGACAGTTACGCTTTTGAAGAGCAGTGCTCAAGGTTGTTCCTGGTATAGGAGTAAAAAATGATTGACCTATGGTTTATTATTTGTTTGTTTTTAATATTATTCTAAATTCAGAAATAAAGAATTCATGATGCTTTCCAGTTTTCAGCATCTCTTGGCATCTTCATTGGCAAAATGGTGGGCTGGCACAAGTTTGTCTCAATCACTCCTTTCAGCTTTGTCATTCTATGGTTCTCTAATTCTATATAGTGACTTCAAGTCCCCGCTGCTCGAGACACACCTGATATTTCAGTTTCCTCAATAAACTCTATTAATTGCCAGGCTGGAGTAGCCTGACATTTTCTTCAGTCTTTTCCTGCCCTCCACATATGGAGTAGATTTTTCAGTCTCAGAACTTTTTTCTGGGTCTGAGTTTATGAACAAGAAGTCAATCTTAAAAGGCTATATACTCTATGATCCCAATTATATACCATTCTGGAAACAACAACAAAACTATGAAGACAGCAAAAGGATCAGTGGTTGCCAAAGGTTGGGGACATGGGAAGGATGAACAGGCAGAGCACAGAGAATGTTTAGGGCAGTGAAACTATTCTGTATGATATTATAATGGTATATACATGTCATTTACTTTTGTCCAAACTCATAGTATCCTATCTAATAAAAAGGGAATATGCTAATTGACCTTCACACTGTCGCAAAGATGGCAGCACCCACAGCCAATAAGGAGGGAATATGCTAATTGACTGTCCCACCCTCAAAGATGGCAGCGCCCTCGGCTACAAGATGGTGGCACCCAGTCCCCTCAGCCCTGCCAGGGCGGCAGGCATGCCTGTCTCCGGAGCCCCCCAGTTCCCTCAGCCTCCGAGCCACCCAGGGCCTCCCAAGGCTCAGGTAACCAGCGCCAGCCAAGGTTTGCTCTGCGGGCAGTGGCAGCAACAGAGGTGTGATGGGGGCGTCGCCTTCCCCTGATCACCAGGTCGCCTCCTGCCCCTGAGGGCTCCCAGACTGTGAGAGGGGGCAGGCCGAGCTGAAGGACCCTCCCTCCAGTGCATGAATTTTCATGCACCAGGCCTCTAGTCCTATAAATAAAAGGCTAATATGCAAACTATCCCCTCGACCAGGAGTTCAACCAGGGGGCGAGGCCGGCCCACCAACAGCACACAGCCTCCCCAACCCCCTACCCTGGCCCGATGGGCCCTGATCAGGGCGGGCTGGCTGGACCCTACCTGTGCATGAATTTGTGCACCAGGCCTCTAGTGTACAATATCAAGAGTGAACACCAATATAAACTATAGACTTTGTGTGTCGATGTAGGTACATCAGTTGTAACAATGTACCACTCTGGAATGGATGTTAATGGTGAGGGAGGTTTGCCTTGGGAGATAAGGAATAGATGGGAAATTTCTGAATGTTCCACTCAATTTTGCTGTGAACTTAAAACTGCTCAAAAAAAGTCTATTTTATAAAAATATTTTAGATGATGAAAATTCCTCCAAAAAATTAGTAATTAAGCAAACAAACAAACAAACACATACTATAACATAGCTCTCCAAACAATTACAAACAGGCAGAGATCAGAGATAATTCATAACCTTAAACATTTATATCAATAAAATAAAAATGAAAATATAATTTTCAACTCAAAACAATGACAAAAATTAAGCAAACTGAAAGAAAGTACAAGAAAGAAGATATTAAAGATAAAGGGAGAAATGAATAAGATAGAGAAGAGGAAGGCAATAGACCTAAGTAATATCTAAACACTGTTCTTTGTCCTGCGTATCTTGTCATTCTCTTCTTTGACTGTACCAATTCTTCCTGGTTCTGTGTCATGAACCCTCTGCCAACTGCCCATAAAGATTTTGCAACTGGGCAGGGCTCTGATGCCTGGTAACCACTGTGACACTGAAGAAATTATGAATTTTGATAAATAGGAACCTAAAATGGAAACTGGACAATAAGGTCAAATTCCCCTTTCAGGCTTTCCCCCTTGTCTCTGTTTTATGTTGAAACCCAAGGGTGAGGCAGCGAGACAGTCTGAGCAAATGCTAGGAAGAGGAAAGGGGAATGACTGGTCAAGGGGGCACTCTTTCTCAAGGGACAAACAGCATTCCAGGAAAGAAAAATACTCCCAAGTTTACCAGCAATTATATAAGGAACACAGAACAGAACAAAGAAATCAGGGCCAAAAAGTAGCCCCTTGTCTTGTCTTATCTTCTACATCTGTGAGGTAAGGCTTTCCACCCCTCGATGCTTCTCTCTACCCTGGTTCAGATGGCATCCAATGTACAGTCCTCCGTGCGACTCCAAAGAGCTGCAAGTACAAAATGAGAGTCACCCACTTCATTTAGCACAAGACTACATCCAGGGATTCAGTCAAATTAGACAGTGAGATTGAAATAAATATAATTGAGGGCCATGGGTACCTGCGGCCCACCTCCCTGCTGTCTTCTTTACTGCGCCCCACAGAAGGAGAAAGTACTCAGCTGATGGGTGATTGTTTTGGATGCAACTGAGCCAAGGAGGGAGACCAAGTTCAACTCCATATAACCCTGGGGGTCAATGCAGGAGTGAGGAAATGGGGTTCTTCTTTCTCTGCCAGTGTCCACCTTCTCGCCCCATAAAAATGCTTTTAGATTGAAATGAATCATATCATACTGGAAATTTGACCAACATTACTTCTTGAGAACCTACTATGTGCCGGGCACTAGGTTAGGGCTACAGATTGAAAAAAAGAAACAAAGAAACATTGCCCCACTCCCCCCATCTTGAGTTCACAGTCTAATGGAAGAGGTAGAAATCATTTCCATCTACTATGGTGTTTACAAGGGGTAAGCTTTGGATTCTGTGGAAATAAAAAGTCTGGGTGAGCAGGGTTGGGGTCAGGGACGGTTTCCTTGAAGAAATGACATCAGACTGAGTGTTGACGAATGTGTAGGAGTTAAGCCAGTCCTAGAAGTATGGGAAAGGCATTCCTACAGAGAGAACAGCACCAGCCAAGCGTGTCCTAATGGACACCATATGTGGGGATGGGAGGAGGACAGGAAGAGAAATGGTGAAATAGAATTTAAGTAATGAACTTTGAAGAAGTGCATTAAAAATAAACCCATAGCCTCCTCTCAAAAAGTAAGGAGGGTAAAAAAACAAAAATAGTCTTTGGAGTCGATTTGGTTAAAGCAAACTAAGCAACTTCCTAATCTCTGGTGGCCTTTCAATCACTAGGCTGGCATTGACCTCTAAATCTCAGGCAGCAGATGGAAAGCAAGTGCAATAGCGTGCACACACACACACGCACACACACGCACACACACGCACACACACACACACACAGAAAGGGAGGGCAGGAGGGTGGGAGAGAGAGGGTGGCACGGGGGGAGAGAGAGAGAGAGAGAGCACTGTTGTCTAAATCCTACGTGCACTGCATGAACAGAACTGATACTTACTTATCATTGTTTTCTAGTCTCATTCCCCATCCCTTGTCTGTGACTGATGGATAAGAGAAATGGTACACTCTACATGCCAGTGTGAGCTGTGCTCATGGAAGATTCCATCTCAACCCAGCCCTGCCACATGGGGAATGTGGAATAAAGCCAGTGACTAAGAAGGCAACAGAACACTGTGTCTAGCTCACCTGGGGATGCTAGTCAGGTAGGTCATGACATTCAGAAAGTCCTCATCTGAGATGTGTTTGAAGCCCACAAACTCTGGGAAAGTGATGATTGGGGCACCATCTTTCCCTCGGCCTCCTGCAACAAAAGTGGGTGGTCAAGATGTTAGCACAATGTTTTCATGTCACGCCTCTGCAGGTCAAAGTCTCTGACTAATATCAAGGCAGGAGATGTGTATTGGCTTCCCCTTTTCTATCTATATTACTTCAAAGTATAACGTGGAAAGGCTGACACTGAACTATTTTAAACAAGTCTCTCTTCTCCTTCATGCTTGCTCAGTGGTAATGTGAGAATTTTATTTTTGAATCCTTTGAAGATAGTTACTGTATAAAAGGTAATACTGACTTAATTATTTAACATGGGTAGAATAGTAAAGAACGCCACAAATACATAATACTTCTGTTCATTTTTGTAGTCACTAAATTAAAAAGTTAAAATGGTAATTGGGAGAGTTAACTCTAAAATCAGTAACCTGGTTGAAATCCTGCTTTGCCACTTAATTTCTATGTGATTTTAGGCAAGACACTTAACCTAAGTAGGATATATATATGTAATACTTGCACCTACCTCAAAAGGTGTTGTGAGAATTAAGTGAAAACATAAGAAAAGCACCTTAGCAGAGTGCTTGCTGCATATAGGTACTCACTAAATAGTGAGCATTATGGTTATTACTGTTAATGGAGGCACAATAAGCTGCCGGCACTTTGATAAGTTATAAACAGGGATATAAGACATCCCTGTGAGAATAAAAATGTACAATTAACATTTAAATATTTAGCTCACTGGAGCAGAGGCCACCAGGTTAAATTGAATAGATTATATTTTCCCATCTCCTAGCAGCTAGATGTAGCCACATGACTAAATTCTAGCTTCATGGTTCCTGTGTCAGGCACCCAGGGAACCACAGTGAACTCACAGAGGCACCATGAATAGTTTAAATTTTTAGGGGAAAAGCAATAGTTGGCATCTGTCACCTGCTCTGCATGGTATTAGCTTGTGATAGTTCATAGTTTCAACATTAAATCACACTAAATTCTTTTGACTAGCACTGTATCTTTGTGAAGGTGGGTTTGGAGTGGCTGCTGGGATAAAAGCAAGTGCAGGATGAAAGTGAGTGTAGAACAGGAAGGGAGGCTGGTGATGTCTAGTTTGATTCCAAGGTTGGAGAGCACTGTAGCTACCAAAGAATGAAATTCTTAGTATTATTTATAAATATTTATAAGACATGAAATTTATAATATTATTTATAAATATTTATAAGAATGAAATTCTTAGTATTATTTATAAGACAGCTACTAAGTTTTTAAAATGTGAAGACTTAAGTTGTTTTAACTGTTCGGTATTGGTTTTGGACAAAAAGGGCTGTAAAAAATTCCTGAGACTAGCTGCTCTGAAAAGCCATGTTTGCATTGTTTCTGTGGCTGCCTCGCTCTTTGCCAGAGTCCTCCATCTCTCGCTTTAAAAAAAAAAAAAATCCGGAGAAACCAAGACGGCGGCATAGGTAAACACCGGAGAATGCTGCCTCGAACAGCCACTTCAAAAATACAACTAAAAGACGGAACGGACATCATCCAAAACCACAGGAAGGCTGGCTGAGTGGAAATTCTACAACTATAAGGAAAGAGAAAAGCATACCGAGACTCAGAGGAGGCGCAGTGCAGAAGTAAAATACTAAGGTACAGAGGCACACACGGAGTGGGCTAGCAGCTAAGGGTGCGGTTGTCGTTTTCAATCGGGAGGGAGTCTCAGGCTCTGAGCTCCAGTTCCGAGCGACTCTCTGGGGACCCAGACTCAAACGGGAGAAGCGGGACTGTCTGGCATCGGTCGGAACTCGAGGGCAGCTTTCTCTCGGAGAGGCTTGCAGTGATTGCCGAGACACTGAGAAGCAGCAGGGCCTCTGAGAGCAGCCATAACTGCTAGCCCCACCCTGTTGATCCCATGGGACCTGCTCCACCCAAGCCCTGCAGGGAGGCTTTTGCTGGATAGCCTCAGGCAAAGGCTAGATTAGCACCTCCCTAGAGATCCAGGAGCCAGGAAACACAGAGGTCAGAGTGGGACCATCCAGTTTGCAGCTCCATGGAACCATAAAGGACACACTCAGGGGGCAGACTCAGTGAGCACCAAAGCCCCATTGGAGCAAGTCTTGCCCTGGAGAGGTGTCTCCAGCACAGAAGTTCTCCCACTGCAGACACAGCTGATTCTCACAGCCAATTGGCCTGGAGGTCAATTCCTCCCAGTGATTCCTACAACAATCAAGGCTTAACTACAACAAGAGTGTGCACAAAGCCCACAAGGGGGTGCACCAAGAGTGTCCTCCTCAGGTAATTGGGGAGGCTGGGCCCTAGAGGACACTTAGCACAGAAAACCACTTTATCAACACAGGGAAGCACAAAAAATGCAGAGACAAAGAAAAAGGACACAAATGACAGAAATGGTGGAAAGCAAACTACTGGATATAGAGTTCAAAACCACACTTTTAAGGTTTTCCAAGAATTTTCTAGAAACTGCCAATAAACTTAATGAGACCTACAAGAAATCTAATGAGACCCTCGAAGTTGTGATAAAGGACCAACTAGAAATTAAGCATACACTGACTGAAATAAAGAATATTATACAAACTCCCTACAGCAGACTAGAGGATTGCAAGAATCAAGTCAACGATTTGAAATACAAAGAAGCAAAAAACACCCAAATGGAAAAGAAAAATGAAAAAAGAATCCAAAAATACGAAGATAGTCTAAGGAGCCTCTGGGACAGCTTCAAGCGTACCAACATCAGAATTATAGGGGTGCCAGAAGATGAGAGAGAGCAAGATATTGAAAACCTATTTGAAGAAATAATGACAGAAAACTTCCCCTACCTGGTCAAAGAAATAGACTTCCAAGTCCAGGAAGCGCAGAGAACCCCAAACAAAAGGAATCCAAAGAGGACCACACCAAGACACATCATAATTAAAATGCCAAGAGCAAAAGACAAAGAGAGAATCTTAAAAGCAGCAAGAGAAAGACAGTCAGTTACCTATAAGGGAGTACCCATACGACTGTCAGCTGATTTCTCAACAGAAACTTTGCAGGCCAGAAGGAAGTGGCAAGAAATATTCAAAGTGATGAATGCCAAGAACCAACAACCAAGATTACTTTATCCAGCAAAGCTATCATTCAGAATTGAAGGTCAGATAAAGAGCTTCACAGATAAGAAAAAGCTAAAGGAGTTCATCACCACCAAACCAGTATTATATGAAATGCTGAAAGGTATCCTTTAAGAAGAGGAAGAAGAAGAAAAAGGTAAAGATACAAATTATGAACAACAAATATGCATCTATCAACAAGTGAATCTGAAAATCAAGTGAATAATCTGATGAACAGAATGAACTGGTGATTATAATAGAATCAGGGGCATAGAAAGGGAGTGGACTGACTATTCTTGTGGGGGAAAGGGGTGAGGGGGATTTGGGAAGAGACTGGACAAAAATCATGCACCTATGGATGAGGACAGTGGGTGGGGAGTGAGGGAGGAGGGTGGGTTGGGAACTGGGTGGAGGGGAGTTATGGGGGGAAAAAAGAGGAACAAATGTAATAATCTGAACAATAAAGATTTAATTAATCAAAAAAATAAAATAAAATAAATAATAGATAAATAAATAAATAAGTAAATAAATTTTTTTTAAAAATCCGCTGCATCGGATCACCGTCCTGCCTCACATGTCGGACACGGCTGAGGACACCAGCTCTGAGATCACCACCAAGGACTTAAAGGAGAAGAAGGACATTGTGAGGAGGCAGAGAATGGAAGAGATGCACCTGCAAATGGGAACGCTATTGAGGAACATGGGGAGCAGGAGGCTGACAATGAGGTAGACGAAGAAGAGGAAGAAGGAGGGGAGGAGGAGGAAGAGGAAGGTGATGATGAGGAAGAGGATGGACATGAAGATGAGGAGGCTGAGGCAGCTACAGGCAAACGGCAGCATGATGATGTTGACACCAAGAAGCAGAAGACCGATGAGGATGTCTGGACAGCAAAAGAGGAAAAGTCAAACATTAAAAAAAAGGCCTTCGTGATATATTCACCCTCCACTTCCTGTCTCAGAACCCAAAGGTGGTCACCTTCGGAGAGACTTCACCTACCTGGGCACTGCCACCTGCAGATGGTACGCACTCACCACCACCCAACCAAAACCACAACGTATTTGCAATAGGGGAGGAGAAAAGAACCAAAAACTTCCAAGGCCCTGCTTTTTTTTCTTTTCTTGTCTTTTTTTTTAACATATTTTATTGATTTTTTACAGAGAGGAAGGGAGAAGCATAGAGAGTCAGAAACATAGATCAGCTGCCTCCTGCACACCCCCCACTGGAGATGTGCCCACAACTAAGGTACATGCCCTTGACCGGAATAGAACCAGGGGCCCTTCAGTCCACAGGCTGACACTCTATCCACTGAGCCAAACCAGTCAGGGCTGCTTTTTTTCTTAAAATTATTTTATAAAGGAAAGTTTGTTTGCACTTTTTATTTACATTTTATATTTTTGTACCTATTGGTAGGGATCGGCCATTTTTAATGATCTTGGGATGACCAAACCAGCCTTTGGAGCATTCTCTGTCCTACTGTTGACTTTACTTGTGGTGTGACCATGTTCATTATAATCTCAAAGGAGGAAAAAAATAACCTTGTATAAAAAAGCAAAAACAACAACAACAACAAAAAATCCTATTCTGAGCATTCCAGTAACTTTTTGTGCATGTACTTAGCTGTACTATAAGCAGTTGCTTTATATGAGATGGTTAAAAAGGCCAAAGATAAAAAGGTTTCATCTTTTCCCTTTTTTTATTGTTTTGTTTATGAAGTTGCTGTTTTTGGTCTTTTGTTAGCCTGTTTGATGTATGTGTGAAACGATGTTGTCCAACAATAAATGGGAATTTTATTTTGCTGAGTTAATTGTTCTAACAAAAAACAAACAAACAAACAATTACTGAGATACAAAAGAACTGAGAACGGAGACAATGGGAAACCTGTGCCCCAGCCATGGGGGTGAGCTGAAGCACTGTGAGTGCCTTCCAGGCTAAGCCCCGGGAGGGGAACCA